CTTGGTTGCTCAACGGCATTGGCCTGCTCGCATTCGTCAGATCCGACGAAGGAAGGCTTTTGCGACTGATCGGCTCCTCCTGGAGTGGCCAGGCGGAAGCGGACAGACACGGCTTCCAAACAAAAAGGGTTCTAGAGTCCAAGACAGTAGATTTTGGCCCCTGGAGATTGGTGTGTGTTCTTGCCGGCGTCCTTCCTCTTCAAGAAAATTGAACTCTACTTTTGCAATGAAAGGCGGCTTCAAATGAAGCTGTCTAGCTCGGTCTACCTCGCTTTTGCCCCATTTTTTCAACTTCGCTTGCGGTCTGGAGGAGTCCAGGATTTGCAGAATCATTGACTTGGCATCAGCTTCAGCGGATGCTCTTCCGGCTGACTGCATTGCTCATGTCCACTGTGGTCATGGAACTTGACTTCACAATATAGCGCGCGGGCTCTCAACGCAGTAGATAGATTTGTCATCATCGCGAGCCTGATGTCATTCTCTTTGGCACGGTTTCATCGTGCAGGTGGGCGAGCTCTTAAGTTAAGTTCTATGGCCTCAACCGTTTGTGAAGTTTGGAAAACACATTGACCACAGCAAGACTCTCAGAGGCAATCATCCCTTCAATCACTGTAGCTTCCTTTCAAGCTGGCTTGAGCAGATTGTCGGCGCTTTCGCAGTGCTTTTGTCTTCTTTCTCCTTTCTGAAATATCCTTTAATCTTGTGAACAAGCCTTGGCGCTTGGAGGGTGTGGCATCAATCTGTGGAGCTGAGCTCACCAGATTGACCCATTTCAATGAGGTTCATTAGGCAAATCCAGTCTCTCTCATAAGGTACCCGCCAATAGCCCTTTCAGATCATTAAAAACGTGTATTTGATTGAAGTAGGTGCGGAAGTAGGTGCGAAGGATCTCCACGTACTCTCGTCAATCCACTTATACACTGGATGAGACGGATTCTTCGTGGTGAAGTGAAAGTCCCAGTCAATCTCAGATTGCACGCTTTCATTAGGTAAAAAACGGAAAAAAAAGAAAAAAGAAAACTTTGGACCGGCTGCACCAGTAGCACTGAAATAATAACGTGTCACCCATATTTCAGTCATCATCCACATCACTGGTACATATCACTGCATACAGCTTTGATCGGGCAGAAGTAATGTCTAAGGCTACAGAAGAAACATAGATTCTTGACTCCGCCGTTAATGTCTGTCGTTCTATTGAACTTCTCTCCTGTCGCTGTCACCGTCACCGCTTTTGTATCGTTATATATCGAAGTGACTATGCAAAGTGTTGTTTTCGTTTCCCTCTGTTTTCGATACATGTACCCACCAGGTAGGTACTAACAATTGTTCAAGGTTACGGTGTTGTAAGGCCTCGATGTTGATACGTCATACAGTTGTAAGCACTGAGCTAGGCATTTACGAAGTACTTTATTCCTTGAGCATAAAGAGTTAGAAACCGTCCTAGCGCATTTTGCTCCCAGAAAGTGCAGCACTCATTCCGCGGTGTATCTGTGGTCGACCTGATAGCCTCGAATATCTTCTTGTCTCGGCATCTAGACTTCCTCGGCATGAGCTATGGGTTCAGCACTCATAACCTCAGCGGTACTAGATACAATGGACGTGAAGCCCTATTCCTTGTCGCTGGACTACTAGCCACAGGTTAATTACATGTTTGTGGTATTACTTATGATAGTACATGTAGATAGGTAAATCAGCAGGCATGGATTTCTTTGGTCGCTCAAAAGGTTCATCGGCAACGGCGACTGAAGTGGTCCGCTCGGCAAGGTGTCGGCTAGAGCAAAGGTCACAAGATTGCATCTTTGGAGATCGATCAAAATCCGCTATCAAACACATCAAAGCAACCTAGTAGACAATATTACAACTTGATGATGAAATCATGATTCAAAGAGGACTTGACACTCACGATGATGAAGACTAACCATGTACGAGCTCGAAAATGACATTTTGTCTTAGATCCTGTACTTTGAAAGGCTGTATCTGTCCGAAAGGGTCTTTCTGAATCTTAGCTTGAATCAATACCCCGGAACCATAAGATTGCGAGAAGAAGAAGCAAGTTAAACTGCGCGCCTAGGTACTCTATGTATAACCGGGAGAGATTTAAGGTTCCCTTCTGTTTGCTTCACCACGACCTACCACTTCCATTCATATAAAATTGATTAAGGTACGTTCAGATGATCCTAGACACCGCATTGAAGGTACGGATGTTTGTTGGACATGAGCTGCGAATGGGGCGGATTTATAAACCCTTGAATAAACTTCAAGTATGCACTAGCATCGTAAATTGAACAAATAGGTAAGAGCGCGCCGGAAATTTGAGATGCTGTTCAAGCCCGTTTCCCAAAGGCCAGGCTAGTTCCGGGTGACATGCTCACACTCAAACTAGAGCCTGAGAGCTTTGACGGAACAGCCAGCTTCTACATCCTATTTCATCTTCCGCAGTCAAAACTGGAGATTATGTTCGCAAAGGTCACAGAGCACTGAAACCCGGAGGAGTTTCTTCGCTTAGCCTTGCAACTATCGATGAGGAGGAGATAAATGGCGAGTTCCTGGATAAGGTATGGAATGTTCTGGAGTAGCTATGGCGTGGGCGGGAATCAAGCACTACCGGAAGAGGTCGGATTCGACATCATGAAGGTGGAAGTGTGTAAACAGGCGATGTGAAGCTTTGAGGAGGACGACCGAGACTTCGATGCCGAGTTTACGTGGGCTATGGTGTGAAAGAAAGATGCTCCAGCTAGATGTAGTGACGGTAAAGCCGGACGAATAGCTCACATGTAACTGAGTATGGACACAATTGAACTGAGATCTAACAAGAACAATGATCGGACTTTTTGGAGCACTGCTCTCGACATTTTTGCTTTCGTGGTTCAACATCAACGTTCTTTTCAAGTGAAGCAACTGCTAAATGCCTCTCCGTGGGTTGGGCTTCTACTAAATAAAGTACTTCTGCAATTGACAATGACTCAAACTTTCGGAGACCGCGGAAAGCCGCTAGGTACTATAGTGTCAATTTCGTCTGCCTAGGATTTGATATAATTTAGCGTGATTCGTGAAGAGCTCCGCCAACATTCTTTGTTCACAACCTCTTGTTTCAGCCATTAGACCATCTACCGTTCTTAGCTAAAAGTCTAACACCGACATTCAAGACCTGCTGTCAAATCGTAGGCCTCTCTATTCGTGAACCTGGCCGTGCAGTGGTTGACACATGTCTACCACCAGACAGTTTTGGGATATCGAGTACTTCATCGTCAGCTGTCTGTCAAGTTCCCTGGTTCTGGCCAATGCAACGTTCTGAAAACGAATTTACCCAGGCTAGTTCAGAACTAGCGCTGTTGGTGTTTCACTGTTCCCCCACGCTTGGCTCTGAAAGAAACACTGCAGGACAGTGCAAAATCCCCACATCTTCATTTCGTACTCCGTACTGGTCGAGCTTTTGGACATGGCCCCTGGTAAGTTGCCCCCTTAGAAGGGAGAAATTCGACACAGATCTCGTCTGTGGGCAGGATATTATTATCGTACTAGCTTGGTCTGTAGAGGCACATGCACTTTTACGCCATCCGAACAGTCACATGCGCGCACCGTCACCGCACTTGATCAGGGCTTCCTTCGGCGTGAAGATCGTACAAGTAAAGTGTTGAGGTTTTGCCTCGACGTTGATCTGTTCGGAGCGACAGCCCCGATCGAGTAAGTTTGAGAACTTCTAGAGCTCATATGGAATTATGGCCGCGTGGCACGAAGTTGTAAACCTTATAATGTGTAGCGCAACGAAGTTGAGCCGTTCGATTTGTCGGTCTTTGGACTAAGATAGCTATTAGCGGTCCAAGCCGTGGCGAAGCATCTGGTTCCTAGCTTACGGCCAACGGCTGCGGCAGTTGACAGTTCGCGCGTTCGACTGTGTGGCCCGTCGCCTCCCGGAATACGGAACGCAGACTGTTCTTTGTCATGCAGCTCGTTGCCCCGTGCATCCTCTGACTCTTTTGCAGCTTCAGGCTCAGGCCATCCGGAGGACCGGAATGTTTTTTCTCCCAACGAAGCTGCCTCGGCTGGTATTGAAGACAGTCCGGCGCGGTAATGCTACCTTATGAGGGCCCTCATTTGTCGATCAGTGGGGGAGCTTAGACTGCGTTCTGTGCGGCATCGCGAGGGCCTATCCGGGTGATCATGGTGCCCAACGAGGGCTTTTTTCTTGAACTTCAGGTCATGACGCAGCGATGTCTTCCACATCTTCTTGTTCTTGAATTGAATTTCTCGTCACATCTTTATACGATGAGGCCAGAAATTATACATCCTTAGCTTGTATCTCGAGGAAAAGCGCCCTCCCTGCGTTGTGAAAAAGCCATTCACCACTTCAAACCTGCCAAAAAGAAGAAGATCGACCCTGCAGCTGTACCAAAAGCTGAGAGTTTAGACCCTCGATTCTCTCGCAGATGCAGGGTCATGACGCGGGACGCCTCGGGGTTTGTTGTAATGGTGTCTACTAGCGTTCTTTCCGTCTCAAATAGGGCGGCATATCCTTGACTCGAATTTGACTCAAGAGAGACAAGCTCCAGCTTAGACCGCCATAACTAGCTTCTAAGTGGGACCTCGACAACCTCGAGGCCTATTAGCTTCATCTCTGACCACAATTAGCCATACAATTTTGGAAAGCAAAACGTAGCGTGAGCGACGGTAAGGTTCTGACGGGATCTGTCAAGTTTGCCAAGCATGAGACATACTAGGCACGGAACAGGGACAGCGCCTACCGGTGTCGAATCTAAACCGTTGACACATTGAAGGATTCCTCACTCCCAGGTACACCCGTCTCTGTCCATTTGGCCCTCTCGATTATTCTTTTACATAAACCGCCCACACCACCTCCACCAAATCGTCTCTGCAATGAGGGTTTGGGGCTTTTCTCCCTCTTCACTACCGTTGAACCCGAAGAATCATTATACCTGGATCCCGACAAAACTGGACCTTCAAGCTTGGACATGTGAACGCCTCCAATCTCGATATCCACGATGAGATTCCCCCCGGCTGAAGTCATCTTATCATGGCCGGCTCCGAACTACATTGATCCCGTGCAAAGGGGACCGGCACTTCTGATCATCGAGCTGACTTCGCTGAGCGTGGCTTTGATATGTTTGGCCTTGCGACTTTACGTTCGACTCTTTATGATACGCAGGAGCTGGTGGGATGACTGGCTAATGGTTGCTGCTGTAGTAAGTACGACATGTGTGGAAATCTTCACCTCGATAAGAGCCAGGGACTGATTGCCTTGTTTAAAGGTATTCTGCATATCCGTTACAATTTGCGTAATACTTGGTAAGATTGCTTCCTATTTTCGGTGTTATTCCATAGATGATAACTGACATTACCTGCTGTAGCAACTTCACTGTACGGATGGGATCTCCACGTGTGGGACCTGACACCCGTACAACAGAGACTGGGCCGCCAGGTAAGGTTCATCGGGTTTCAGCAGCTCGAGGTTGGGCAAAGAGCTGACAGGAATAACGCAGGTGTCTATCGCTGGCCAGACTCTCTTTCTATTCGCATCAGGCCTCTCGAAGCTTTCCATCCTCACAAGCTATCTGAGAATAGCCCCACTCGGATCATGGTTCCGAAAGCTGACATGGGTCACCATGGGCTTTGTATTCGCCTTGATATGGATCTTTCTCATCGTTCTATGGACTCAGTGCATGTAAGATTTCTACTTCGTGCCATGAATCCTTCGGAACAATGACTGATTTCTTGCAGACCCGCGTGGCACTACTGGGACCTATTCGTGGAGAATCGCAACTGCATCGAAGAGTGGCCCCCTCTGGCGGGTCAAACTATCACCACAGTCTTGACTGATTTTGCTGTCTACATCCTGCCTATGCCTACGCTCTTCAGACTAAGGCTTCCGATGATGCAAAGACTTATCCTAATAATCCTTTTTAGCCTCGGCACAGTCGTCGTTGTGGCTGGGATTATGAGGACATATTGGGCCCATTTCGTCGAAAGGGAGACTTACGATGTGACATGGGATGGGTTTGAACTTTGGATCTGGACGGCTCTTGAGGCGAATCTTGCTGTGGTATGCGGATGCGTACCCGTTCTAAGACGTCTGCTGCCGTCGATGTCAGACACCAAGGACTCGCATGTGTCTGAAAGTGCAGCTCCGCCGACGATCGGATCCGGCAAGAGGCGTCAGCAAAAGCTGGACGATCTCGAAATTGACGTAGAGAGCCATGCGCTAGATCACGCCAGTGCACCATCAACTACAGATGGCGAATCTGTTGAGATGCAGCCAGCACGTTCAAGTCCTGGATGGTCCCCAATACGGGATCCTTGGGGCAGGTCAAACCTTCAGCAAACTCATATGGGAATGCACTGATACTACGTATTTGAGTACATATAGCGCTAATAATCTTGTAATAATGAGTCCTTACTGTTTCTATGGAAGGAGAAAACAACCGAGACATCGTTTTGGAAAGACAGCTTACGGACTTCTCTATGCAAACTAGCAAGCGTATTGAATCTCATCCGATTTTCTGTGCTCGAGAATTATGCAATGGAACCCCCTTTCCCAGGGGAGCTGCTCCGAACGAGGAATATATTGCAGCTCTCGGATCCTTCGGAAAAGTGCACCGCGGTCCGCGGATTAGAAACAGAAGCTTGTGTTACAATCATAACCAAGTGAAAAAGCATCCAGCTTGGAGATTCCAGCCCTAAATCAATCACGGCTCATTGGAACAGGAATTGGTCGACGTTCTCATTTCCTCTTTTCGCGCGCACAGGTCAAGATGTGGTTTGTACGATAATTGCGAGTGTGCGTGGCGAAATAAAAGTCCATCAATAGCAATTGAGGAGCTTAATTCTAGCTTCCGTCAGTCTGTCTCGTTTTCAAACCCAGCAGTGATTCCAGGGATGAGCCCAAATTAGCCATGGATTTTTGAAGTCTATGAGAACGCGTGGCATCAGGAGATGATATTTCGAGTCAAGGAGTCTCCTAAGGTTTTGCGATGTTTGATGGGCTTTGATAAAAGAATCACATCCACCACCCTCAGTCCGTATGTAGAACCCCATCTACAGCATCCTCCAATGTCGGAGCCATGTGCAGAAAGTTAACATCCTTTCCATAAGTAGTGCAAAGTGTCTGCAGACTTCTACGAGCAGCTCCAGCATCTCATTCCCGTCCTCTACTTCAACACAATTATAGGCTCGATCTTGTACTGACTTCGACGTGCTTGCTTGACCTCCCATGGCAAGGTCACTTGGCCCGAGGTTAGTACCTGTCGGCTAGCACGAGACACGCAAATCTCACTTGGATGAGGTAAAATAAGAGTTATGACCGCTAGGCCTCCAACAGAGGTAGCCAAGACACGTGGGAACAACGTCGATCCGTAACTGTATGCAACATGTTCACGCATGCGCCATCCATGCCGAATGCAGGTAGCCGCACGGGTTGACCCGACTGACTTAAGCGACGGCTCACTGCTCAGGTGCAAACTCCCATTGCCGCCAACGTCTAGTCCCACAGGCTTGATGATGCTACGGTATGTCAACAAATTAAAAGGCAGCGCATGCGGCTTGTACAAGTATATGGTTGCATTATCGCTTGAGGATTCCATGTCCGTCTTGAAGCAATCACATTAATGATTGCCTACAGTCTACAGACCTTTTCGTATTGCCCCACAGCACAATTTCTCGTGCACCCATGCCCAGAGAAACCGTTCGTGATAGCCTCAAACCTAACTCTGTCGTCTCGTATCTATGAAAGAGTAAACGTTGATCTTTTCCTCGATAACCGTTAGTCGCCCACCCCCGCGAAGACCGCGTCTGAGTCGGTAGCGTCCCATTCGCGCGCCAATCGACCGAGATGCGGGGACCCCGGTCCCCATAATCACCCCAGACCTGCCCCTGTCAGTCGCCATCGTCATCGGTTCTGCCCGTGTAAGGTCACGGCAGTTCTGGATCCCGTCAGGGGAAGCGGCTCAGTTCGATTGGTACGGGTGTGGTTTTTCAGGGCAATCTGCAGGCACTATGCAGGTTCTCATTAAGCGCAAGTCTGTTAGACACGGAAACTTGAGTTGCGAAGCCAAGACAGCCGGATCATGGGACCACGAAGACGAAGTGGCCCAGTTCGTGTAGCATTCACGAAAACATCGATCTAATCAAGTGATCTGCCATCAACAGCCGCAGTGCGGGCTGATATATAATGATGGAGCCACCTCCTTGTCGAAAGATCTAGAGCTTTGGCCTCAGCAACCTCAAGCATTTCACTCGGCTCTCTTGAATCAGCTCAATTGCCTTACCAATTTTGACAAGATGAGGTTCTCCGCAACCCTAGCCGTGGTCCCTCTCGGCGCTCGCCTTGCGCAAGCTGCCTTGGATGTCGACGCCATTACCGAGAAGTACTTTGGCAACGACGCGCCTTGGTACAAGAACCGCATCCCTCTTTTTGAGTCGAGCGATACGGAGATCACCGACGTCTACTACTACCGCTGGAACCTCTTCCGAACTCATCAGCGCGATGTCGGCACCAAGTACGGCTACATTACCACTGAGTTCATCGACAACGTCAGCTGGCAGACGCAGCCATGGGCCTCCAATAATTGCGCCGCTATATTCCACCTCTCCGAGGGCCGATGGTGCCGCGACCCGCGCTTCAAGCAGGATCACGCGACCTTCATGTACAGCGCGGACAGCAACCCCCGCCAATACTCCGAGAGCTTAGCAGACGGCGTCTGGAGAAATTATCTGGTTGACGGCGACCCAGCCCTCGCCATTTCTCTCCTCGACGATATGCAACGGGTCTACAACCAGTGGGTGGGAGACCACTTTGACGAGGCCAAGGGACTCTTCTGGATCGAGCCGATTGCCGACGCGACGGAGTACACCATCTCGAGTATCGATGCCTCCGGCGGCTACGATGGTTTCTTCGGAGGCCAAGCATTTCGCCCCACCATCAACACCTACCAGTACGCCAATGCTCGTGCGATTGCCAAGACTGCTGCTCTCAAGGGCGGCCTGGACAGCGTTGTTGAGGAATACAACACTCGTGCCCAGAACATCAAGGACACCCTCCAGAGGGATTTGTGGAACTCGACCTTCGAGCACTTCATCGATCGGTACCAAGTTAACAACGAGAATGTCACCTACTGGGACTTCATCCGCGGCCGTGAGCTCGCTGGTTTCGTTCCTTGGGCCCACGACCTGCTGGATGATGATGCCAAGTTTGGTGAGGCATGGAAGCACGCGCTGAACTCCGAGGAGCTCGGTGGTCCCTTTGGCCTGCGCACTGTTGAGCCTTCGTACGAGTACTACATGCGTGTTTGGAGATACGAGGGCACTCACACCGAGTGCCACTGGAACGGTCCCTCTTGGCCGTATCAGACAACTCAGGTCTTGACTTCCCTTGCCAACGTTCTCGACCACTACCCCAACACTTCGGCCCACGTCACTGTCGGAGACTACACTCGCCTTCTGAAGCAGTACGCCAATCAGCACTACAATAAGCACTACGGTAACATCCTGGATATTGAGGAGAACTACGACCCTGACACTGGTGAACCGATTGTTGGCCTTGGACGTTCGCACCACTACTTCCACTCTGGTTACGTTGATCTCATTGTCACCGGTTTCGTCGGCATTCGTCCCCGCGAGGACGACGTGCTTGAGGTCAACCCCCTGGCCGACCCTTCCTCCATCTCTTACTTCCGCGCGGAGCGTATCCTCTATCACGGCCGTGAAGTTGCTGTCCAATGGGACGCTACTGGCGCGCGCTACGGCGAAGCAGGTCTCCGAGTTGAAGTTGATGGACAAGTCGTCGCCTCTTCCGACAAGCTCGAGAGACTTACCGCCGAGGTCACACGCGCGCCAGTCTCCGTCGCGCGCCCCTTTGACCAGTCCGTCCAGCTCCAGGCTACCGAGCCCCTGCCCATCATCAACGCCTCCGTCCCCAATTACGACATCAACCGTGTCCACGATGTATTCGACGGTCGCATCTGGTTCTGGACCCAGGACACCATCGCCAACGGTTTCGATACTCCCGAGGGCAGCACCGCCGAGGAATGGGTCAGCATCGAGTTCGGATCCGCTGTTGAGGCTGCCCGAGCTGAGATTGCTTTCTTCGCGAATGAAGAGAAGGGATTCGATGTGCCCGCCAGCTACAAGTTGCAGGTTTTGAGCGGTGAATGGACCGATGTGGCTGATGCGACGTACGATGCGCCGTTGGCCAACGGTATTACCAATGCGAAGTGGACTGGAGAGTCTACCCAATCTCTCCGCATTCTCGTGAAGCCTCAAGATGGCAAGCGCGTCCGTCTGGTTGAGCTGAAGGTCTTCACTGAGTAGAGCATTAGACTTCATTGAAGTTTACAAACGAAAGGTACAAGGGGCACATAAAAGTAGATATTTGGATGGAAGACCAGTACATGTTATTAATTCTAGTATATAATAGTTGAAGATGGAATATTGATGCAAGCGCTTTGCCATGGGCAATTCCCTCAATCCTCCAGGTACACGGTGAGAAAGATGTAGGGACTTTCGTCAAGAGATTGTCACTCATGAGATTGCAAGGCCGGGCAACAAGTTCGGTTCCTTGAGCCTTTTGATACGGGCCTTGGAACATCCCTTGTCCAAAAGCTGTGGCCCGAGAGCGAGTCGCCCCCTCCATGTAAGTCATTGGGAACCCCGCTTGTGATCATCAATTCCGGGGTATAATGAATCCATTAAGCAAGCGAATGCCAACTCTATCATTCACTGCGCCAACATTGGAGGTTGCGGGACCCATATTCGCGAACATGAAACTTCAGCCGAACTATAAAAAGGCCACCAGATGGGTGCGACTGACGAACGACACTCATCGCATTAATATCTGTAGGGCTTTGCCTCGCTCGACCGAGTCAGCCAACACTCGGTCTGCTCCGAGTTCGTCCTTATCCCACGCGGAAGGCCGCCTATAACGAAAAGATTAAGTAGCTTCGGAACTAATTGACAATCCTTACTTAAACTTCAGTGTTCCCATTTCTAAGCTTGACTGTGCAGTACCACATTTAGTCACCTATTTCCAGCTTCTACTTCCGAAAAGGGCACGGTTTTCTCAGCAGTCAAACATCCAAGTAAACCCACTTTCAAGTAAACATGAAGACAACATCTTTCTTTCTCCTTGCAACCCTCGTCTCGAGCGGCCTTGCTCTGAGCATCCCTTTGAGACTGCCATCGAGTCTCGACAGTCGGGCCGAAACACACAACGCCATCGCGCCAGAAGACATACTCAACCCCGTTGTTCGACCACGAGAGTGTGAGGAGCCAGCTGAGCCCGCAGAACCGAGCGAGGCGGATAGGAAGAAGGGTGCCAAGAGACCAGCGAGGCCTTCGCGACCTACAAAATGCTGAGATCTGCCCTAGCACGTTGATTTGATCAAGACAAGGAAGGAACCTAGACCATCGAGAGTTGAACACAAGTCGCTGATTATCGCCACTCATATCTCATTGGAATTAGCGGCTTGTCTCTTCTCGTAATAGTTCTCTCAATACCTTCAGTCGAGTTTTCGCAATTCTGAGCATCGACCAGAAGCCTTCACGCATTTGGTGATCAGCTGAATTCTTGGTGAACCCATCGGTGAAGATTCGCATTTTTATTCAAGTGGAAGCGTACACAGCCACACACAGGCGCCTACTGGAAGATGCTGCCCTTTTCATCACCCTGTTTTCTTCAACACCTGAAAGATGCATCAAGCCGCCAAGCCACCGAAGCGCATCATAGTGTTTAGTACAGGCAGAATATGCAGGTCACACCAATAGGGTGCCTGACTGTGACTTCATTCGCTCACGCCACGGTCCTCCGGTTCAACTGTGCAGCCAACCCGTGTAACCCGCTGATCACGCCTCTTTTCCCGCCACACTAAGGACACATAAGGCCTAGGTCCTCCCCCCGCAGCCCATTCTTCCGATTGATTCCTCAATTGCCTCGGCCAGTCTCTCAGCATCCAACGTTGCTCTTTGCTTCGCCGCAAGCATCCGTTTTCAGTCGTCAAATTCACAACACATTTGAACTGGACACGAACCGAACGAACATGGAGAACAAGGTAAATCCTTCAATGGAGTCCATCTCATCGCAAATGGACACGGAGGGGAAAAGCCGGGAAGAAATGATAGCCGAATCCGTCAAGAAAAACGAGGACGTCCAAAATCTTTATCCTCAAGTCGACTTCAAGGGAGCCGTTCTTGAACCTACCATTCATTTGACTTATGATATCCAGGTATTTGTTTTCAGTCCGCTCAGGTTCTGTGTCCATCCGTCGTTCTCGAAACGAAGATGGCTTCTAGCATCAGCCTTCTTTGAAAGCTTGGCGTTATTCTGACTTGTTTCAGGAACACGTCGACGAACCGAATCAAAGGAGGTACAACACGTTGATCGCGGAGATGCTAGAACGGACCGCAGAACCAGATCTAGCTGAAAGATTACTTTGGGAAGCGAGGGAGTGTCTCACGGGCTACCCAGGCATCTTGGCTCAGTTCGATGAGATATTTTTGGGCCAACGCTCTGCTTCAAGTGTGATACGGGAACTACACGAATGCATGATGATGAAAAAGACGGTGGAAAGGCGGATGAGTCAACAGGTGAATGACGTGGAGAATGGAAATGCTTTTCAATGATTGAAACTTGCCGTTGTCTCAACAAACTTTGTATGGCTCTGGTCCTCTGCTGACCGACGGTTCTTTCTATCGCACCATTCGGGGCCTATGGATTGCGCCTCTGAACCTAACCTACAACTAAACTGATGTCGAGCCGACAGAAGAGAATGCCGTTGAAGTGCGTCGAATATTTTGTGTACATGGAAAGACCTCAATCACGCATCAACAACAACTCTTCATTGAACAACGAATATAAACGATAGGCATTGGCTCCTTTGTTGTCAAGGATCGATTATTCGCAGGTTTTGTAGTAGGTTGTTGACAGATCCGAGGCAAGATAAGTATTTCAGCCTCTATGCCTCATCTTGTCTTCAGGAATGACTCAACGGCCGAGATATCGTTTTATTATCATCATCAACCTCTTCTCATAACACCGAGTTGAAAGTTCAGGATACATCATAGATACAGTAGGTTGCTACATATATGATGCAACAATCAGGGCCCACCATTTCGTCTCAGGCATACCTCGTGACGTTTATCGCACGTGTCTTCTGGCGGCTTCTCATTCTTTCCCTTCAGCATTGTGCTTCACTTTCTCCAGGACACAACAAACCCCTTTTGCTCACAGTGTCCACTTGTCACCCCCTTCAGAAACCCCTCAGATAATGCTTAGCCTTTCGAGAAGCCTGATGAGCCAAGCGCTGCATCCAGCATCCCTTGCTGCAGAAAGTGGCGTCATGCCAGCATGTTTTGAAAGGTTCACATTGGCCCCATGCTCGATCAGATCGATAGCCATGTCTTCACGCCCAAGAAGTATGGCCAGAATCAATGGTGTGTACTTGTAACTGTTTCCTGTCAGGTCAACATTTGCTCCATTTTCAAGGAGCAGCTGGAGTAGTTTCCTATCGCCAGCGGACACAGCATTGGTCAAAGGTGTCTCGCCAACATCGTCTACTACATCGAGAGCTGCCCCACTATCAAGAAGAACTTTGGCAGTAGCATGGTTATCATGTTTCCGCTCGTCCGACAAGTGTGCAGCTCGGCCACCTTTCGCCACCTCAACAGAAGCATTGTCCTCGACGAGAAGTCGAACGATCTCTTCATAGCTAAATGACGGAGCTAATTTTGATTTTGAGTTGCATCGGTTGGCGCCGCTGTTGACATTTAGTTCAACCTCAACGAGAAGTTTGCTAATGACTTTGTCGATTTTTTGAAGTGTTGCGTCGGATTCACCCGGCGTGTCGAGAATGCTAAGGCTAAGCGGGCCCCTTTCTTTAAGCCTTTCTTCAATGAGAATGTCCGTTACCGTGTGTGCGCTGCAAACGCAATGCAGTGCTGTCATTCTGTGTTCATAGTTCTCTGCGTTGACAATTGCGCCATTTTCAATAAGAAGCTTGGCAATCCTCTCGTTGCCTGCTCTCGAAGCTGCGTGTAATGCTGTATCGCCGCTGTCGCATCTAGAATTCACATACGCTCCATTTTCGATTAGAAGTTTGACAATTGCTTCTGGCGGGTCCACCCTCCAGCCTGCCTTTGAGGCTTCGTACAACGGCGAAGAGCCATTTACGGCGCTGCCCGCGTTGGCGTTCGCGTTGTACCCAAGGAGAATCCTTACTATCACTTCCCGACGATGCACAACAGCAAGATAAAGGGGCGTACGCATACATTTGCCCGTCTGGTCGATTTTTGCCCCATTCCGTATGAGGAGCTTAACAACCGACTCGTGACCTTGCTTGGCGGCCCGATGCAGTGGGGTGTATCCACCATAGTCAGATTCATTCACATTGTAGCCGGCTCGGAGGAGAAGCTTGACCATTTCGAGCCGGCCATCTTGTGCAGCCCAAGACAATGGCGTTCTTTGCTTGAAGTCCAAAAAGTCCCTCCTGTGTGTCATGCCTTCCATGATATTCGTTCCGTTGTAGATCACGGACGGCATCCCAAAGAGCGCGGCTACCGAGTTGCAATTTCCATTGGCCAAAGCAGCAAACAATGGATAGTTGTATCGGTCCTGAGAATGACGTGCCCAATTTCTACTTGGTATCGTGCGAATGAGCCTGGAGCAGTCCATTTCTGAGAATATGTAGACAAGGCTCGCTCGAGGCCCGTAGCGGCGGATCCTATGCTTCTCATAGCGATTGTAGATGCGAATCCAGTTTTCGAGGGGAAACTGAGACAAGAATTGGAGTTGAGAAATGCCGGCGGCTGCGGCATCGGCATGGAAGAACACCTGCTGACTTGCGTATTCCATGAATGGAAACTGTCTTAGAGATTCATCTGAGACCGAACCCGATGCCAAGTAGTATCTTATGTACTTGATGCAGCAGGCTTTCAAGTTTTCATGACTTGAGAGCTCCCAGTCAAAGCCTAGATCAGGCCACAGCTCCGCAAGTCCACCAGCTTTGAGAAGATAGTCTCTGACAGACTCATGTATGAATTGGACCGTTGGCTGTGTAGATTTGGTAATTTCAGCCAATCCCTTAGAAAAACCAATTACGCATCTTGTGGCGCTGTCTTCGTCTTCCGGGCTGGTGACGTTTGGAGGATCGGGGTCCACGAGGTCGCTCTGAGATAGACCAGACCAAAGTGCATGGTAAAATTCTCTTGGTTTCAAAGGTCGCTTGGCACAGAGAATCCAGATGACGCACAAGAACAAGTGTTCAGTGTTCTTGCTATCACGCGTTAGGATATTCTTGAACAGGGCGCCCAGGTCGCTCGGTATCTCAACAAGCCTTTTCTTCAAGGCCAGCCCACCCTGGGAATACTCAGTGTTGAGGATGTCAACAACTAGTACGATCCAGAGAAATACGCCCGCAGCCTTTCGGAGTATTTCTGTCTGTAGTTCTTCGACAAGAGGAGGATTGTTGAACCGGAGACGATTTTTGATGTAATTTTCCATATCCTGCGTGTGACCTGGCTGGTTTTCGAGAATCATTGTCGCCCCCCTTTTGACGACTATGTATGGATAGTGACGGCTGGAGAAGCAAATTCGGAACGCAATTCCTTCTGTTGATGCGTCTTCTGCCAAGTCCTCAAAGTCTCGGACCATGTCTGTGACTTGTTGCTCGTCACACTCATCCAGAGCATCTATGAAGCAAGTCAACCGAAGCTGGCCAAGGCTAAGGACAGCTTCAGAGAACATATCTTTCAGGACTTCTAAGCTTGGACAAGTCTCATACTCTTGTTGGTTTGAGTACCGTTCGTTAAGCACAGATCGGAGCTGAGGGTATCCCTGAAAGAGCTGCAATAGTAAAGAACGGTACATCCCTTCAATCGATCTTTCCAAATGTTCGCCTCGGGCATTGAAGAAAAACGAAATGACGAGTGGGGGCCAATGAGAATCCTTTTGCATTCTCAACAAGGCAAACTTCATGATTGTCGACTTTCCCGCGCCCGGCTTGCCGCGAATCCAAAGAAGCCCGTGGTGCAGCTTTAGCTCGTCTTCGTTGAGCCATGTTTGGAAATCTGGGTGTTTGATGAACCATGCGCATGTCTTCGCATGTGCTCTTTTCACAGTAGATCTACGGGAGTCCATTTGATCAAACTTGAGAGTTTCCAAAAGCTTGGCTTGTCTTTGATGCTGGTCCGGTAGGGCTCGGGCTACGAAGGGCTGTCAGTAATACTTTACGATTACCAAATGATATCATCTGAGTACATACGAATTTCAAGACGAGGAACAGCTCGTGTTTCATGGTCGGCCGAGGGAAGTACGGAGAGTAGTTCTCTGGCGCATGCTGCCGCCGCAGCTGCGGCGTATCTCTGCCAGGCTTTATTCTTGTGAGAATCCGCGTAGTCGCAGATTCCGCGGATTGGCAGGCAAGGAACAATGTCCATGATTCCAGCAGCCTCCATTTCGAAGCATACAACGTCAAGGGAACGAGCAGTAATGTCCCTCTCAGTAGCATTCTTCATGACTTGGTTGCCGGACGCAATCGCTCCATAGTGAATGACGGGATCGTTGTCCAATCGCGTGCGTCTAGTCATTCGCTTGGTTTGATCGCAGTCGTCACACGTGGCTGCTGATTCCGGGTGGTTGTAGTTCAAGAGGAAGAGACGATCAGCGTCTGTGGGACGACCATAATGTGGGAGCGTCTTGAACCTTTCTTTGAGAATTGAGGGAACTTGACTGGGAACTCGATCGTGCTTCGCTCTCAAGACTGTGATGGCTTTGCCAAAGGAGTGGTGAAGAGTCCTAGCAATTGCTGTGCGTTGAATCTCGGCACCTGCGACAATCTTCCCTAAGTCGTATTGCATCGTTCTTGTACCAACAACAATGTCACCCAGTCGAATATCCCTAGCACTGCTCGGGACGCCACCTCCAATGCCAACCATCAATGCTAGTCGAGTTGACGGAAAGGTACGAACTAAGTTGGTCACCACGTTCGCCGCATTGTTGGTACCATATTGGTCCGCTGGCAGGCATGCGATGATAACATTATGGCCTTCAATACTTCCCAGCGTGTAGGTGTTGGTGTCGATCGTGTAGGAGTTGCCATAGAAAGCGCCTGACGGGAGAGTGTCGTGCTTCTCGTCTAGCATAGCCTCTGCAGCTACCAGCTCCGTGGGCAACGCGCAGATCCAGGCGATTGTGTAGCGGTGATACTCTGGCGGGACATTATCTATTGACCGTCGAGTCTCGCCGCCCCATTTGCCGAGGAGCATTCGTTGCCGCTTGGGTATGGCAGATGGGCTACAACCACCGTCCTCGGACCCTCGACGCTTGCCGTCCATCGCGAATGATTGACTGAGAGTCCTCTTGTCACCGAGAAGACGTCAAGAATCAGTTTTCGTCTTTGTTCCGCTAAGCAAGTAGTAAGTAGTTGAGGGAGCAAACGGAGAAGGCGGACGGGATGAGCAGGTGTGAGGAGAAAAGAAGAGCATGAACGCGCATCAGGCTGTGAAGGCCACAGCCACGCAGTGATAGACAGTCTGTTGGTATCTGCCACAACGCAATACCTACCAATCAGCCATCCAGGAGCAGCAGGGGTAAGCCAAGGGTAAGAGTGAGATGCAGGCTAACCTGCATGATCACCACTGGATAAGGCAGACTCGCCAATACGGAATGCCTTACTAGCCTAGAGCAGAAAAAGAAGGAAAGAAACGTTGATTGAAGATGAGAAGACGTGAGAATGAGGCAACATAAGGAAGCACCTTGGTTTCATTGTTTAACGCAATCCTCAATTCCCTATTGGAGGATTCGGTCCTTACAGAGAGTATACCAAGAAGGGAAGGTCATCAGCACAACCAACCAAACAGTTCCCCGCCACCATGCACGAGGAATCCTTTGTCCGAGATGTCGCGAATGGCACATGAATGCTGACTTCCGCCGCACTCTGATTTCACTGCTGTCAACTCTTCGTATTACCAACACGACAGATACAGATGGTAGATACTGGCGGATGTAACTCGATGGAGCATCGGAGCGCATCAATACCACGGCAATCAGCCTGGGAGAAGACCCGAAACGCCGAGGATGACGACGATGATGTGAATCTGTCCCTCGAAGCAACATCCAACGACCCCGAAGAAGCATCGCAATCCCTCCTCTCCTCCCACGACACCAAACCCTCTCGCCAAGAACATCACCAACCTCGGCCAAACCGACGGAGCATCACAACAACCCACGCTCGTCTCGCCCTCCTCCTCGCAGCAACCCTTCTTCTAGGCGCCGCCCTCTCAGCCCTGGTAACAACAATCCTCACAACCCGCCTCCGCACCGCCAACACCTCCCACAGAAACGACAACACCCTCGCCTCCCCCAACGACCCCTCCTCCCGCCCAGTAACCTACCTCCAAACCGCCCCCTGCGGCTCAACACCAGCCCAAGCCCGCGCCGCAGGCTGCGAATTCGATCTCATATCCTTCAACTGGCTCCCGCCGCAATGCCACGACGCCGCCCTCGCCGAAACCTTTGAAGCGGAGCTCGTGGAAGCGGGACAACTCGCCTGGTTCACGGACGCGAACCGTACGGCGCCGTCGTTGACGAGGGAGCAGATTATGACGGGGGAGTATAGCGGCGTGTATGTGAGCTTGGGATACCATCTTCGGCATTGTACGGCCATGTGGAGACGGATGCACCGCGCGTTGATGCAGAGTCGCGGTGGGTTGGAGAGGGTTGATAGTTATATTTGGAGTTATCATCATACTAGGCACTGCGAGGAGGTGCTGTTGACGAGGTTTGGTGAGGTTGATGTAGGAGAAGTGTTTACCACGGAGGTGAGGATCAAGTATCCCGACTGCGGCGTCGTCTTGGGGCCATTAGATTGAATAATGATGATGGTGAAGTTGTTTCCGAGATCGGTTATGCTGGGTGAAGAATTCCACAGAATATTAACCTCATTTCCCATCATCTATCGTCATCTTGGCAATCATCTCCGCCCCCTCACTCGAAATCCAACTCTGCAAACTCGCCTCCTTCTCAACTTTCCTCTCCTGCCTCGTCTTCAACCTCCACCCCTCCCCGTCCTTCTTCTCACCACCACCAGGCGGTGTCACCTTGGGCTTCGCCAGCAACTTTCTCGAAAACGGTATCCGCCAAATGTGCGGCCCGACCTCCGTCCCCGTCACCCGGTTCGTCTCAATCACGGTCCTCAGCCTCTTGGCCGCCTCCCAGTTCGACGTCACCGTCGTCAGCTTCGCCTTCCACCCGTACAGGAACGACGAAACGTTCATGGCGTTCAGCCCGGACCCCTTTTTCCCGACGGCCAGCGCGACGGCGGGGAGTTGACCCTCCGCTACCATTCGCTGCGCATCATCCCATGAGACAGAATCAACGATCTGCACGGGGAGGCGTAGATCCTCGGGGACAGGGTAGACAGAGAGTTCCTGGAGCAACCTCACTCGCCGCGCGCGATCTCGATCTGTCTCCTCTGCCTCGGCAACCTCGCCCTTCTCAAACAATATCCTCGTCCTAGCCTTCTCCTCTTCCGTCCCAATATCCCCCACGATCTTGAGAAACGTATCCGCCGCCTCCCGCGTACACACCAGCGTCCGGCCGGTGATGGCAGGATACAACGTATTTACCAACCGCGGCCCATTCTCAACCTCATCCGTCGCGTCGATCCGATGCTGCTTCGACCTCAACAGCTCCGAGTCCGGTCCAATAGCCATATGACTGAAATCCGACGCCAACGCCATGAACACCGAACAATCCACATTCACCGTCGCCGTGAAATCCTTGTAATAGTCCGCCTCCACAAGATTCGCAATCGCCTCCTCCAACGGCGGTGTCGCCTCCGTCAAGATCCCAGGACCATTCGCAGTCTCAACCACAAGATCCACGTCCCCGCCGCCCATCTTCCGCACCAACCTCAACAAATGATCCACGGCGTCATTCTCCCCCTCAGATACCCTCGACATGAGTATCCTTACCCTCGGCCTTCGATAATCCTGATATGACGTCCTCGCCGCGGCAACCATGTGCCTCGCGACCTTGGCGACCTCGATACTATCCTCCGTCTCGTCCCTCAAAATCTCCAACATGGCCTCGTCCGCGCCCTCGTCCTCGAAATCCTCCTCCCAATCCCATCCGGCGTCCGCCATCTCGTAAAACAGCCTCCGCTCCGTCGTCGTCACGACTTTGACCCAGTCCGCGCCGCCATTCACGACTAAATCAATCACGGCGCTCACGCTCTTCCCGCCAACAGTCTTGTAGCTCAAGTCCCTCCTCATCCCCGTAAGCTCGCAACACCTCTTCGTAACCTCCCACACCGTCTCATAAAACTTGTAATTCGACGCATCGAGCCTCAACCGGATCCGACTATCCAGCGCCTCGGTATCAACTCCTTCCTCCTCGCCACCATCATCATCATACGCCGCCACCATCTTCTCAAGATGCTTCTTCTCAGAAACAATAAGCCGTTCAAAGAACCCAAGCCCCGGAACAGCCTGGTTCCACGCCACAGGCTTATGCCCTGAAGCTGGCCGCCTCTCGATGGCGGCCTTGAGCTGCTCAAGCTCATCAAGTAGAACCGTGATGCGGTGGATGATGAACTGGCATTGCTGAAGCAGTGAAGTCTCGGGATCCGGCCCGAACTGCGGAAAGATTGCCATGCCTTCTGCTCGGCGACGGAGATGCAGGTGGGCAGATTCCCGGTGCTGGCGGGCGTAGATGCAAATTTGATCCTGCGCGGGGTCAATGATGGTCTTTCAAGGGCATGGATGATAAGTTACCTTGGCGCTCTTGAAAGAGAGTTTTCCTATGCCCACGTGTCAACTCCCCGTGCCTTGCGCAGTTGGACAGTCAAACTTCGGTGAAAACTGACGGGTATGACTGATAGATAAACGTTGATACAATGGCACAGCGCCGGGCCCGTGAGCAGAATAGGCAGCTAAAGTGTGTGGGTCCGTCTGTGGGGCTCCGACGCGGGGCCGAGAACCGGACCGCGAATAGAAGTCTGAGCATGGGACGGTGAAAAGGAACAGTTCTCTCACCAAGCATTCCACACTCGGCAGGCAATTTATCCATATGAGCGGTTGAATGGCGAGCAAGGCTTTGCGCCGACGTCTTCGCATTGCATTAATCTTCCTCGCTGGCGTCCAGCCAAGTCATGTTCATTAAGGCGCATAAGCCGCCATCCGATCCCCATCATACAATGCGCCCTTCATCCACTGTGGCCATGCAAGGCGAACCTCAGCGCCCATCATCCAATGCATATCGGCGCTGTCGTCTAATCAATGGCAGAAAAGGTATAATGTCTCGGTCCAATGCTTCCATCTCAAACATGAACCACAGTCTAGAAAACAGTACCGTCGCTATCGATCAAAATTGGCGGTTCTTTCGTGTTGGGTCTGCTTAACTCTGCCATCTCACGACCTCCCTGGAAGATTGTATTAGCGACACCTTCGAAAATCTAACAGTTCGGGCGAGCTTACCTTCCAGCTTCCGGCTTCGAGTATTTGCGCGAGAGTCAACTGATTGCCCTTCAGGTCGTTCTTCATGTGCTTGTTGACTTCTGCGCAAAGCCTATCCAGGAAGCCGACCGTGACACCACGCCACTCGACTATCACGTCGTCGCTAGGCTCAAACATTGGTGCAACTTCAACTGGCTTGACGTTTGTCCTTCTGCAGTACTCGTCGTAGTGCTCGAGGCCTCTCTCGGAATCGCCTGCCTTTAGCGTAAGAACTCCCAAGTCGATGAACAAACCGCCGTTGCGGTACTCAGGCAGGCCGGTGAGGAGTTCAACGCCAGCAAAATGGATGCGAAGTAGTGACTGCATAGGCTGCATCAGACTGTAGCAGAGCCACTGTGTAAGCTTGTGGAACGGCAGAATAGACTCCCATGCCGCGGTCGAGTTCTGGGCAGACGGCGGGAATGGTGAGAATTGTGAAGTCGTCGGACTCTGCGGTGGTTGCGGCATTGATTGGCAAGGCCAGGCATCGCCGAGAGATACGCCATTAATCGAGGTGCGGGAAGCTGGCCAGATGGGCATAAGGCCGTTCATTAGGAGATTCCACAATGTAGGGAGAATCACAATGGGCATCGAAGAAGCTTGAGTCGAGGGATGCGATAGGAGATAGTCTGAGGCGGGTCAGTTCAGTCCTGGCACCTCATTTCCACCGGACTCGGAGAGTTGTCAACTTACCAACCATGTGACCTGGCCGTCCGCTGTCGCCAAAGTATTCCCGCTTCTCGGTCAGGGCATTTGCTAGCCGTTGGAGCAATTGTGTCCTGCCTTCAATGCCTGCCATTTCGTTGCCCGGTTTCGACTGCAAGCCTGCAGATACCCTCTCTACTGTCAGGTTGCGCAGTGCCTCCTTGTCAACCTGGAACTTGTTTCTGCTGTCGCTGGAGAAAAGACCCTTGACGACTGTCAGTGAACGCACGAGTCCACCAGAATCGTGAAATAGACTTACACTCTTGAACATCTCCAAGCTGGCTACGGCGATGCCTTCTGACCGGCGGTATATGCGTCCGTTTTCGGTGCTCTTGTAACTCCACTTTGTGCCTGCGCCAGCGTCGAGAAGCACACTCACGAGGAAGAGGTCGATCATGCGCCGACACTTTTCGCTGTTGTCGACATCTTCGGGGAATGTGGAAAGAAGCTGTGCAATGCGGTCACGACCGCCGACACAGAAGTGCTGGTGTCTTCCGTGGCTAGGAATCGAATTGTACGGGGCGTCGTAGTCTCTCTACAGGGGTTTGCAAGGTCAGTATACTGCTATTTGCTGACCCAAATAGCGTGTTGGTGGGCGGTGCCAGGGCACGCAAACACCTGCAAGCGCCCCAAGGCTGACTCGTACCTTGATGATCTGAGAGACGAACGTCACAACGTCTGGGAACTTGCGCATGTCCACGTCAAAGTGCTTCAATTCGTTGCGGATCGCCTTGTCCGTGACAATCTTGTTTCGTTCTCTAACCGCCCCCAAGCTCCTGAGGTATCCTGCCGGGTCAAGCTGCGGGTCAGGAGGACGCGGCATGTCGACCTTGGGTATCGAGGTAGGCGAGAAAGGCGTCAAAGGCGTGCCGGGCGTCGTGCTCGTTCCGGAAGACCTGTTCATTGTAGTGCTGCGTGGCGGTGGTGATTTGATGCTAGAAGCACCAGAGGCGATGCTCACGTTTGACGTGTTGATCGATGGCTTGCCCGAGGCTTTGGGGGCCTTTTCCTTGCGAGAAAAGAGGCCCATTTTGGCTGAATGGGTGACCGCTGGGTCGAGGGGCTCGTGAGATGGCGGTTGGTGGGGTTTCGCTGGGGGGGTTCAGGCGGTGCTGAATTGAACTGAACTCGGTTCAAGGCGAAGCTTCCGAGTGGCCAGCTGGTGGTTCGAACTTTGGCCAGCTACAAGCTGTGCAGTGGCGACACAGGCCTGTTGCGACGATCACCGTGGCCGGGGGGTGCTTCGCTTCCGGATCCGTCAGGTGAGTGGACAGGCGTGTTGTCCTTATTCGCTTGGCCAACGATGCTGAGATGGCGAGAGAGAGAGATTCGGAGGTGGACGACGTCGATTTGCAGCAGCGGCGGCGACAGCAGTGGGAACAGCAGTAGGAACAGGGACAGAAGGGAGGGGAGACCAGAAGTTGATAAGTCGAGGGTCTGCCACGCAAGTTTAATAGGGGGCGGTTTTCTGGACTTGCGGGGAACAATATCAGCAGTCTGCTTCTGGAGCCGTGAGCAGCTGGTTGCGCACGAAATGTCCAGGCCCTCTCTTGTGCTGGGGGGGCTTGTCTTGTCGTGCTTGTCGGGGGGAGGGCTACTCTGGGCTCAGGGACCGATTCCCTTATTGGTGTTAGAGTTCTGGCCGACGTCGATCTGGATCAGGGATACCCGCTGGAGCTAGATGAACTGCTTTTGGCCTGGTTAGCTGGAAAAATGTCGAGCCACCTTGAGCCATTCCCACTGCGCCCACGCCGGACACAGACAATGAACAGACACGCAACCGCCGGAAAAATGGCACATGAAGAAAAAGAATTGGGGCTAATTGGGGTGGCATGGTAAGAGGATAGTTATGCAGACAGTGGCAGTAGAGGCGTGTTAATGAGTAAAGGGCGACATGCGGTCCGTAAAGTAGATAAGGCAAGCTGCTGCCGCGTTTCCTTTCTTTGTACACTTTCCATGTGTCTGTCTTGTACATGAAGTCCTGTATCCGTACATTCTGGATCTACCTCGGACTCTTGAAGTTCGCCATCGTGGGGCACACTGGCTCGCAACCTTGTTGTCGGCCATCTGGCACACCCCTGGTGCCCCCTCGCAGCGCTATGCAAGCAATGATCCGGGGCATTTGCCAGGAACGCAGAGCATAGACATTGGGTGCGAATTGCGGCTTTGCGGGAGGCGGGGAAATGACTGGAAGGAGGGTCTCAACACTTACGGATACTTGGATCACCTCTGACGTGCTCTTTTCAGTCTTCTCTCAGGAGGTGTGGGTCAATGAAGCAGCAATTGATGTTTTCTAACAGGTGGTCTGTCGCAAAGGGTCTCGTCCTGTGTCTCGGTGGTGTAGCTGGCTGCCGTGGCGCGTAGAGAAGGAAGCACGCAGGCCGTTGGGGCGCGACAATGACGAGTGCAGCAGCAGTAGTAGTATATTGAGACTTGAAAGTGAACGCCGAGACGGGGTCGATATTGGCGTTGGATGTCGAAGTCCACCGGGACTGTGAAGCTGGATCTCGGACGGTGGGGTTGGCTTTGCGGAGAGAGATTTGGCAGCGGGAGCGAGGGCGATAAAAATGATATCCGTCCGTCGACCGGATCTGAGCTAGGCCAAGCGGGATCTCAGAGGCGTCCAATGTTTGCGGTAGTGGAAATGAAGATCAATATGCGGCCAGTCTAGCAGGGGATGCAGGCGCGGCAGAGTTGCTTGACACCACGGAACTTTCAGAAGCTGAGTGAGAGAAAAAGCAACCTCTTGGAGACAGCGCGGCCAACAGCACAACGTCAATGGCCAATCGGGCTCGGGTAAGAGGCGAGCGGTATCAAGCTTAGCCTCTCGGAGGCTAACCGCCGTCTATATCGGGTGAGGTGGTAGCGTACGTGTATGATGTTGAGACAATGCGACAGACGGGCCAGGTGGGTGAGGCCAATGGTGCTGCTGTATTAGATGGAGTTAGATGACAACGTCTCTGGTGTAAGGAACTCTCTGAAGAGGCTGCAGATGCTCCGCGCAGGGTGTATCGTGTTGACAATGAGGTAGGAAGAGAATGCCCAGGGAAGAGTACAGAGGACAAGAAGAGGTGCGAGTCAAGAGGGAAAGACTCCTCCAGCAAAGTGGGCGGATGTATCTGCAGAGGGACAAGATGAATGAAGGAAGCTCTGTGTGACACGCGGATTGTCGATTGGGGACGATGCGCGGCCCAGGCGAGGCCAGGAACGTGGGGACAGCCGTGGGTGTGTGAGGTGGGCGTGGATAGAGAAAGCTGCGGCGAAGCAAAACAGAATACCTCAGGTACTCCGTACTCTGTCCGTACGGATACTAAGCAGGCAAGTAATGTACCTTGCGCCGTGCGGATACCTCACCCTACCTTACCTCAAAGCTGGGACAGGATGGGGCAGAAGGAGGAGCAGAACGACGGACGAGGATCGGATGGCATAAAGGCAAGCCGAGGAAGACAAGGAGCAAGATGGGGACGGGGCAAGATGAGGACGGTTGATGGGATGGCAGACTTGGGGGTCGTCGCGGCAATAGAGTCAAAAAGACGAGCGAGAGAAAATATCGAAAAAGAGCCACCTTGACTTACTGCGTACGAGTTACGACCTTGCAGATGGATACAAATGCAACTGAATGGATCTTCTTGGGTCGATAGGTCGGGGTCTGTCTGCAGCTCTGACGACCGGGAATAGCCCTCCCTGGTCTACGGTCTCTTTGCTTTGTTTTTTGTCTCCTTCCAACGGGAAAAAGAACTGTTTGCCAGTGCGCTCTCGGCTTGGTATATCTCGCGTCAAGAAGAAACAAATGGAGCGTACGATGGAGAAAGTTTCTGATGGAGTGAAATCGAAAACTTGGGATGAATCTTGGTAATTTCAGACTGAATCAACCTGAGAGATGGGAAGGAGAGAAGGAAGGAAGGCAGCACAGTACGTACCGGGGACTTGCCTCGCACCCGACTCCATCCTTCCCGTTCTTTCCACACCACGTAACGTACCTTCCTACCTTCCTACCTTACCTACCTTCCGGAGATGCTCCATGAAGCATTCGAAGCACCTTCCTCGGGATATGAGGGCGGCCGAGATACCTTACTTGAAGAAGTTCCCAGGTACCTACCTTATTGAGACGTGAGGAGGTACCTACCCATCCAGTAACCTTTCTCTTGCGTCAAATCCCGTACTTTTTCCATGCCTGATTTCTTTCTCATCATCCCAAGTTCAATGGACCCCGTGATCTCACCTAGTAGGCTACTACAGACTCATCTCGCAAGGGACAGACAATGGTCCCAAGGCCATCAAACCGATCTTCAGACAAGTCAGACTCGTCCCCGACCTTGGGGACGGCACGGGAAGGAAGCCACGAGACTCCAGAGTCTGGCGGGGGCGTTGCAGGGAATCCTGGACCAACATACAATGAGGGACTTTGCCGTCTTGCGTCTGCATCCAGGCATATCCACCAATCAATACTCCATACAAAGATCTTGGTAAATGTACATCTCGAGTTGAGTTGTCATGGAAGTATGCTGCCGTCTGCATATGCCTACACTAGCAGACTCGCGAGTCGCAGAGGGCCCATGTCGAAATTTCGAGGTACGAGGCTCAAGGCTCTACGTAGTAGCTGCTCGGACATGGAGAGAGTCTCCACTTGATCACTGTACCTGAGAAGCTGCCACAGTGTGTCGGTTCCGATTCTCCTCAAGCTTTCAGTGCATGGAGCCACTGGATTGGAATTAGGCGAAAAAAGTGTCGTCCAATGTCTGCAGCCCGCTAGACAGCCCCGGCCAGGGTGGGTCCTCGGCTCCACCAACGCGGACTTTGGACAATTGAACACCGGACGGTCTGGCCAACAGGCGGAAGGCTTGCGGTTCCACACTCGTCCCGCGAAGTACGTTCAGGGTACTTCAGTACTTGCCTCTACGTACCTATCTTTACTGAGTGTCCACCTTTCAACGCATCTTCCAATTCAGATGAGTATTTTCTTCCACTTCGCTGTTTATTTCCAGACGCAAAGATAGGTGCATACCAAAGGCCCCTTTCATGGTCAAACAAGTCGTTATCTCCGCTACTCATCTCTACCGCAACACTTCCAGAATATTGAGGCGCCATTAGCTTCCACATTCAGATACATGGCATCGACGCCCGAGGGAAGCCACCACTGGTGCACCTTCCATCACCTCCCTCACCTCGATGAATGCGCAGACCGATTGACCGAGGTACTCACAGTGTCTTTTTGGTGCCGTCATCTTCCCCAGATCATCACCTAACGGATACCCATTCATCCATCACCCACCCGTCCATCGTCATCCTCAATCACCACGCCACCAACAACGACCAACACCACTATCGCTGCGACCTCACTGCTGATCTGGCCCACCTCTGCAAATCACCAACTGATTCAGTTCCTCATCTGCACCCAAAGCTTACTCTCCAGCCAGCCTCCAGGGGACCTCATCTCTTCTGCATGCGCCTCGTCAAGCAAGGGACCCCCCTCCGGAATCACTCCCGGCGGGCCATGACAATGTCTTGACTCTTGCTACTGCAGCATCATCATGCTCCCTCCTCGTTGCTCAACCACGCCTCATACCTGCGAGACTGCGACAAGTCATATCAACACTGCGGCGCCCCAATAGAGGGCCACGATCCATGACACTTGCTGCAACGCCCCAATGACGGCTGCTGTACCCATACAGTGTGATCGATAGACGTGCTACGATAGAGCCCGGCAACCGATGCTTTTCGTCGAGATTTTCTCTCCTTCTTTCTGAACCCATCCATGCTTTGTATGGATGGACAGACTCCAGTCGAGCTGTAATCATGGTACGATCGTTCCATAGGTCCCATATTCAGAGCCGGGGGCGCTACGGAAAGCTCCCTAGTCACCAGTGGAACGCAAAAACTGACCAACATGGGGCTCTAGAGGCCGAGGCGAAAACGTGCCCAAGCACACAAGAAAACGCCTAGCTCTACACAGCTGTAGCGAGTTTGCCGCTGCCTGCAGCCCAGCATGCCCCTCGACTTCGCTGTGTGCTCATCATGCTCCATTACGACCATAACTCGCCCGACCCTTGGGGCAATGTCGATTTCTAGTGGTCCTTAACGAGTCGATTGCTGCCATGGCAAGCTGGTAACAATGCAAAGTCGTGGAAACCAACATGGGGGGTTTGGGGGCCAGGCGTGGCAGAAAATCACATCGCGGCGCGGAGAGCAGTAAAAGCCCTGCTAAACGTACTGAGGCCATGCATTACCTACATGCGCCCACCGTCGTGTGTGAGCGTCGCCGGCATCTCGGAACCACATCCTGCTCTCCGGTCCATCAACCACGGCTCACACTCGCCTCCTTGCCTGCTTCGCGGCTTCGGTTGGTCGAAAATGTGATGCCCTGGCTGCTAAATGCCTATGCAGTACGGATCACAGTCAGCTCCAGTCTGGTTCTGTCCCGTAAAGTCCCCAGCCAATCATTCGCAACGCGTCTTCGCACCGGGCCGAGCAGCAGGAAACCTGCGAAATAAGCGTACGCCGTACCGAGGTCGAGAGAAGAGAATTCAACCAAGTCGGCTGCCTAGAGTTGGTCGCCGGCTCGCCGTTACCCCTTCTCCACCTATGTCTGCCATTCTGGTTCGTGGACGGTGGTTGGCAAAGGAGAAGGTTGTTTGCTCCCGAGTCCCAGATGCAACGTCGGCCGCCGCGCATACATGCAAGTCCCAGGTCCATCTCACTTCGGCTACTTGGTCCTGCAGCTGACCGCAATCGACACTCGGGCTTGCGGACAGGCAAACAGGAAAGCAAACGGCCCGGTAGGGAGTACCCTCGAGGGTCTCTCCCAAGAAAAAATCTCAAAAAATTTCTTCTGTTGTCTCTGGGGGCCTGGAAGGTTCAAACTGACAGTATCCTTACCAGGGACCTGGGCTCTGTGGGATGGGAGGATGGCCGGTCTGTGTTGCAGTGCAGCCGAAGTCTGCAAGGTACGGGAGACTGTGCACGTTTCTGGAATGGCCCGGACTTTACTAAGTAGCTGCATGCCGCAGTGCGCCGCCCTACAGACTCGAAAGTTGAGAGCCAAAGAGCAGACTTCAGACGTTCGCATGGTGGTTGTGGACAGTTGGCAGCCATTTGCTCTAGTGGTGCCTCGCAACGTTTTAGCATTGGGCCACGGGCCGCAGCGAGCTGTTCGCAGAAATGAACCAACTACCAATCCCTTTTGCTAAAAGCCTGCACTACCTACGGTGTACACTGGCAACCAAGTAATCGTACGAAGTACGTCTGCGGCACGGCGTAAGGTCACATCGAGATGTGCATGCGCAGACAGACTCTAGCAACTTACCGTCACATCGAGGACCTCGATTGCATCAAGCACCTGCTTTCTCTACCGGATGTTCTATGACGCGACGCAGGACGGCTTCACCTCTTCTGTCACAGCCCACGGCCTTTCCCGGTTCAAAAGAGCCATGGAGCTCCCACCTCGTCCTTGGGTATTCAATGGAGGCACAATTAGTCAAGTACATCCCTAGAACGCGCACCAACCAACCAAGTGCCAACCAACGCATGAGACGCCACAAACTCCAAGGGACGGACTTGAAAGCACAAAAACGTGTCGAGACCGGGATGAAAGGAGCCTCGTGTGCACTTTGCCTCGTGTTCTCGGCACACAAGCACGGACATCCGGACCCTTGGGCGTTTGCTCAACAACAAATAGACGTCTCAAAAATCACTTTCTGCAAATTCGTACTACGAAACCGAGGTGAGAGGACCATGATGATTGACTCCTGATCATCTTGTTACTCCGTAGAGTGATGGAGCTTCGCCCCTATTGCCTACCGAGTTCATGGCTCTCTGGCTTTCACTTGCGCTCAGGACCTTCAAAGAGGATCCCTCCGTTGTGGAAACACGTCGATCCGACCGCGCTTGGCGTTGCTTCTGACAGCTTGCTCGGTGGACGCCAAATTCAACGACAGATCAGGACAGTCCGTGTTTGCGGCACGACAGCCTGACATAGTTTTTGCTACTAGGCCCTCAACGCAGCAGCACGGAGACGATAACGTATCATGACATCTGGTAGAGCCTCAAACTAGAGAAAACTCAGTGTCGCTCATCGGCTCGTGCCACTTTCTTCACCACACCGAGTATGATCAGGCCCACTGCACTCCTCCTATATCCTTTCAATGCTCCCATCACGACGCCGCCCTTGGCCCGGTCATCGAGGAGCTTAGGCCCAAGGATGCTCAGTGTTGCCCTGGACCCGGCCCCCAAGGATGGCCCAGCTTCTCGAATTTGAAGAAGAGCCCCAGACCGAAGGCGGCTAGCCGGAAAGGGAAGCTGCAAAACCAATCTTACAATTTAAAATCGCCTGTTGAACTTTGCCATGTTCTTTGTCCCATGCGCACTTCAGCATGGCTCCGCTCCCGGCCTGCCTCTCTGTCGACGATATTTCTGCTTTCGGGTTATCTCGCTGGGCAGCTGGACCTCCTTTTCGCCTCCCTGCCAAGCCCACCTCGAATACGCAAAGAGGCTTGCTGGTTGACGAGGGCGCACGCCTCCTCTAACACGTTTCCGGAGAAAACTCCGCCTTGCGCGACGCTGCCACGAGGTGGCCATGCTGAGCGCACCGAGGGTCTGGTTCGATGGCGCTCGCTCCCAAGTACTCCGTTATGACATTGCGCATTTGTGAGATCAGCTGTGTCCTATGCCGGCAGTTGACCCAGTCGTATGCGGCGCTGGCATGGCTGGCCAGTGCAAAGCCTGTGAGACATATCCAGCACGATGAGTAACTAGTCACCGGTCGGCGCGACCCTACGATCACCAGGGAGAAGATCTGCCAGTTTAGTGATCAAAGGTGTTCGGCGTTCGCCCACCGGTCCAATTTGACGTTGTTCGGTCATTCGGCGAACGCCCAGTCTATTGCTTGGGACATTTGACGTCGTCACTAGACCGTGTCTCACTTGTAGCCGGAAGAAGCTCAGACCTTTGGTGTCGTCGATCACCACGGTGTGTGTTTAGGGATTATGACGGGATGCCATGTGAACAAATTCCTCGATATCAGGACAACGAACGGTCATCAGAGCACCCGGTGCCGGAATATGTCCTATCCAGACTCCCGTCAAAGTCTCGGAGTGCCTGTTCACCATGGCAATACGGGATTCAGGGAGCGCGATGGCATCGCCTCCCGGCTTGCGGACGTTCAGAACCACATCCTACGCCCACAGAAACCATTACGGGGTCGAGATGATCAAAAAGATGGACGATCTGGGAATCGAACCCAGGACCTACCGCATGCTAAGCGGTCATTATACCACTAAACCAATCGCCCATGGCATGATCTAGCCCGGACTTGAACCGGAGACCTTCAGTGTGGCAGAGCGGAGAGACACAAGGCTCTCGTACTGTTAGACTGACGTGATAACCAACTACACCACCAGACCAGTTATTGTTGCAAGCGGGCGCCGGTTTCTGCATCCTTGGCTGCGCGAGCGCGAGGTGGTGTGGGTTGAGGGTTGCAAAAATTTGCAAACGGCTTTGGCAGGGTGGGTCGGGACGGGAGGTCCCTTGCGGTGGAGGTCGGAGCCGACCGCCGTCGACCGCAGTGGAGTTGAGTTCCGACGAACTTGTCGCTATTTTTAGGAGTAACGGAACGACCAGACGAAGGTTAATGTCGACGCGGAATGAGGATATGTTACCAGGGCGCCTTTCTTCCCTCAATGTTGGAAACACCACTGGCTTCTGGACTTGGGTATTATGGTTTCGACTTGACTGAAATGGACAAGTAAGTTTATGTGATGGAAACGACTGCTGTGAGATTAAATTGCTTCCAAGGTAGCTTAAGATATCATGCGCAGCATTGCCTTTTAATGTCGGAGACGACACCCTGGCATACTCACACTTGTCGCTCTCAATAACTTCCTCAACTTGGTTACTCTGATCACGAGAACGCCTAGGCCATCGTTCAGAGTCGAAGTAGTTGGTTCTTCTTGATACACCACACCAGTCTTGCCACGAATGGCTTGCTAGTGGCTCGCCGCCTCAAGCCGTTATCTCACTTCAGCGATCAACTCGACTACGTTTATAGTTTGCGAGACTCGGATAGACTAGCCCTGAAGACCCTGTGCTGCTACAAGTATCAACCGCAGGTGCTCTGCTGAGAAATCGGGAGCAGGGCAGTCAACGGGTGGGCGAGTCCAAACGGCGGACGGGTAACAGGCGATGATGCTAGGGCAAAGTCTCCACTGAGAGAGGGCTGAGATGGTCGTGAGATTTGTACATGGACATGTCGTGGCATTTCACAGTAAAAGATCTCGCCCATCGTTGACCAATGGAAGTCTCTGTCAGGCTGTAGTCCGAAATGCCAGAAGATGCGATATATCGTTTGCTGG